AGCATGATTCATATTGTATAAATGATCCATGGTGACTGTTTACTCTAATGGCCAGTGTCCAAAAATATCTGAAATGAGCCATTTCTGACAACTTTTTCAACTGTATTGTTGAATAGTCTTTTTAATCAGGCTTTAATTTCACTCATACCAAATGATGTCCAGAACTTAACTGACTGAGGCAACTACCAGGCCTGTGTGTTTGATAAATGTGAACTGTCAAATATTGTAAAGCTGCTGGAATTAAAGCAGTAGCCAGGCTGGCGCCACCTAGTGCCTTCGCTCAGTTTAATTTCTCTCCAGCGACTAGGTCAGTAATCGGAATACTATACGGTCTGCAAGACCCTGGAAGTGTGAGTCCGGGCACAAGCCAGTCAGCAAAGAACTGTGAAGCCATGACATCAAACTCAAGCGCCTGTCTGGGTCCCTTTTGTGGTACAACACAACAGTAAACAAAGTCGTCAAGATGGATGTAGACGAAGCCATACATTCTATGTTGGCAACAATTCTCGAGATTGAGGATTTAAAGCCAGAACAAAGCCGGAATGTTTGGTGAATTTTATCAAGGGGAAAGACATTATTACCCTTGTTCCTACGGTATTTGGTGCATTACATACATCACGAACAAATAGCAGCGACTGGTTAAATAAAAAAAGTACCCATCTACCGTCAAGCGAATGAATCCTAATGCTGCGAGGTCAGACAGTTTCCACAAAATTAAACCAGCTGATGAATCAGGCTATTAAAGCAGACCTATTATGCAAAACTGCCCATGTTTATAAATGTTTCCAGTTCTCATTTACCCTCTTCAAGTTGTATTTGGAATGATTTGCACCTGTTGGAGCACTCTTTAATCACTTATTTTCAAGGCACCCCCATTTTCACACCTACTGGCATACCACCCTTTGGTCTGTACTTTGTTTTCCAGTTTTATTTTCTTAATTGATGATACGTGTAGGATTAGACAGCATTGTGTAGTTATTATGATACAATTTTTTTTTTTTTTTTATCTGCTTCTCGATGGCATGATGTGCAGCTATCCATAGGAAAGGCCAACGGCTACACGGCTCTTTGTTCTGATCGAACATTTTTCTAACAAGGAAGTTGTTAAGACATTTTAAATGAATATTGCAATTTAAAATGTGCAAATTATAACGTAATGATCCACAGGTGTCATAGATTAATGTGTTCTTTAAGAAGACTATGCTACCGTAAATGACCCATAAAGATCAAGCAGGATTTGTCAAGAACAGATCCTGAGCAGGTAAAATGAGATGACTATTATAAGTGCTATTACAAGCAGTTCTAAGCATATCCGTTGCACTGTAGTACTCACTAAAGTGGTATTCCCATGCTTTGACATGTGAGCCTCACATAGGGTTGCATTGTAGATGTGAAGAGTGAAGGAGCTGCAGTGCTGACATGTTTAACCTTGTGAATGGAGGTGTGATTAGGACTCATTATAATGTCACACAATGGAGTCCCTCTGATCCAGGCCAGGCTGAGAACAGACCGAGCAGCTCTGGGGTCACCTTCTCACTGTTACAGACACTTCGCCAACTCTTACAAAGTTACTCCCTGACAGTAATGCAGATCTGCAGGAGAGTTGTGTAAGAAGGAAGTGGGTAATGTAGTCGAAATAAAATGTCAAACTCAAGGAAAAGGCTTCATACCTATTTTTATACCACAATGATACTGACAGACTTTTAGACAATAGAATGTAACTTTCAACACACATAAATAGTAGATTCTGCAATATAATCCAGATAGTGATGTGATTTGATACTGGTTTTATTATAAATTATTAGGGGTATAGTTTTTTTAATCTAGTTCTGTCCATTGGGATTTAATATTTTATATTATATAATATGAATAATAATATTATATAATAGAAAGCAAACCAAATCCTGCACATTTAGTCTGAGTTTTTCTTTCAACCGAAAACACTTTGTTCCACCTTGTGATGTCATGTAGTAATGCAGGAAGTTCACTGTGTTTTTAAACTCCATACACCTTCACTAGAATCATGTGTGTGATTTCAACCCTGGAATTACCAATCTCTACTGAAATAAAGGTTAATAAAAGGTAGATGTTAACTACTGCTTCAGTACATCACAAGTAGGAACAGAGCATTTTGAGATTTGGAGATGTAGACCGATTAATAATAATAATCTTAGTTGAGGTGGCCCGGGCATCTGTTCCGGATTCTTCCTGGGCGCCTCCCTCGGGAGGTGTTCCGGGCATGTCCCACTGGGAGGAGGCCCCGGGGAAGACCCAGGACACGCTGGAGGGACTATGTCTTTCGGCTGGCCTGGGAACGCCTTGGGGTTCCCCTGGAAGAGCTGGAGGATGTGTCTGGGGTGAATGAAATCTAGGAGTCAATAAAGGAGTAATAAAGGATTACTCAAACATGTGTGAATGAAACAAAACACAACTCTAGGTATGTTTTTGATGAGGAAACAACATTCTAACACGGCTTAAAGCTCATAAGAGTCAACTTTGCGTAATATCTGACCATTAAAATACTATAAAACTCAATCATAAACATGTCTTAATTTTCTGCCACTTCCACTACACGGTGCAGTCATCCACATGCTGTTTATTGGGGTATAGGGCCAAAAACCCTTAAACTAAATCTTGCTATGAACAGTTGGACAGTCACTGATTCGATTCCCAGTCCTATTTACCACAATGTAAAATTCCATCTGGTCTAATATATGTTCTACTCCAGTGAAATGAATTGACCCGTTTGACCTCATCTGCTTCTGCGTCTTAAGTGTGCTCCTCATCTGTTTCCAAACATAGCCCCCTCGACTGGCTCAGCGCTGCTCGCCTCAAACAGCCACTTGCCTGCATATTAAAAAACAGATTTCTCATTAAGATATTCATATATAGGCTATTAGGAGGAACTGCTTATTAAAATCCAAAATGGTTTTCTCAAGTGCTCTGTGTAATGAAGTTTGATTGCATCCAGGTGTCAGGCATTAACTTACTGCTTCTCTCTCCGCCTAATCCAAATTGACTTGATTGATATCCCAGGAGCGATTTGGTGTGGCCGTTTATTTTATTAAAAGTGTGGAGTTATTTTCAAATTACTATATTTCTTCTTCTGCGATTTCTGTTTGTCTAGGTGTGCCCTCCGCTCCCCAAAACCTAGTGTCCATAGTTAGACACTTCACCAACTCTTACAAAGTTACTCCCTGACAGTAATGCAGATCTGCAGCAGAGTTGTGTAAGAAGGAAGGGGCTAATGAAGTCACAATAAAATGCCAAATTTAATACCAATTCATACCAATTTTATTGCACAATGATTAGGGACAAGTTCTCCTACCACAAGTTCTCAAAGCAAGACAAAATTGGCACAAGATTATGCACACATGAGAAAAATGATCTTGTGGGATTTTTTACCCCTGAAAAAAAAAAGTATTACATAAAATAAATAAAAAGTAATGAAGCCAAAATTGTGAAATGCATTGCACTACTTATTTATTACAAATCATGTAAAACTCTCACCTTGTCTCGTTTTCTTGGATCTTATCTCATGGTGTGTCTCATTTCGTGAAAATAGGCTCTATTCATGCTTACATCACAAACCAGGAAGATGTTTGGAAAGATGCGATTACAATGTCCGGTGTATAAAGAATCCCTCAGTCGTCCAGGTAGAATCCATGGCATTCAGAACTGTTCAGAACTGTTCAGAACTGAAGAAGCAGCTTGGATGAGCTGCAAAACGTCTTCAACCAAACTAACTTTTGTCCAGTCGACAAACTGAATTTTCTCCTCGCCAACTTCTGGTATAGTTCCCGACACTGGGCTCAACAACCGACTGTGATAAAACTCATGGACGTAAATGTGATCAGCGGTAAAATGAAGACTGCATACATATGTGTCGTTTGGAATCATTTGGAATTTCGTCTCTTCTAATCGCATGTACCCAGTGCGCTCGGAGTTGTGCATCAGTGGGGAAATGATGAAAACTGAGGTATGGTTGCAATTGTTGATTAGCCGGACATAACCGAATGCTAAAATGACATGTAGATGAAGAAAACGGGGCCATTTTCTCATTTTCTTAGATTTTGTCAGACTTACTACTGTGAACAGAGCCCACCGGAAGTTATAATCGCATCTTTGCAAACATCTTCCTGGTTTGTGACATCAGTGTGAATATAGCCTATTTGATTAGGGATGGTGCAAGATCACACGTGAGAAAAATGATCTTGTGAGATTTTTTTCCCCCTGAATTTACCATTGGCTCAGACCAAAAAAAAAAAAAAGTTAAGAGCTGCTGAGTTATACAATTTGAGAAGCTGTAGTTGCAAAAAGCAGTAGTCCTAAAGTATTATATACAATAAATAACAATAGTGAAGCCAAAATTGTGAAATGAATTGCACTACTTATTTATTACAAATTATGTCAGACTCTCGCCTTGTCTCGTTCTCATGGATCTTATCTTGTGGTTTGTCTCATTTCGTGAAAATTGTGTCTCATCTCACTCCTAACAATGATAATAAAACACTTTTTAGACAATTGAATATAATATTCCATACATCATAAATAGTAGTTTCTTTAATAATATCTTGTAGTTCCAGTATAGAAACAAAATCTAAAATTATTTGTCAAATTTTTATAATTTTTTTCCTATACATTCTTGTTCAAGTGATGTTTCAAAATGGGTTTTATTATCAGTTATTACAGGTATAGTTTTTTGAGAAAGTATTGCAGCAAATTGCTGCAACTCAGTTCTGTCCATTGGGATTTAATATTTTAGAAATCAAATCCAATCCTGCACATTTAGAGTTTTTCTTTAGAGTTCATGTAGCAGAAAACACTGTTCCACCTTGTGATGCCATGCAGTAATAAGGGAAGTGCTCCACTGTGTTTTTAAACTTGATTGACTTGAATGATATGCCATGAGCGATTTGGTGTGGCCACTTATTTTATTAAAAGTGTAGAGTTATTTTCAAATCACTATGCTTCTTCTTCTGCTATTTCTTCTTTTCTAGGTGTACCGTCTGCTCCTCGAAACCTGGTGTCCATAGTGAACCAGACATCGGTGGTCTTGGAGTGGCACCCCCCTCGGGACACAGGGCACAGAGAGGACCTGTCTTACAACGTGATCTGTAGAAGATGCCACAGTCCGGAGAGGAGAGCCTGCCAGCCGTGTGATGACAGCGTGGGGTTTGTGCCAGGGAAGAGAGGCCTGAAGGATACTCGAGTGGAGATAAGCAAACTGAGGGCGCACACGTCCTATACTTTTGATGTGCAGGTTTGTACAAGAAGTTTTTTAATTATGCTTTATTTGGCACCAGTCTCTTGCTATTTTTGCTAGTTATTTAGAATTTATTATTACCATTTATATTTTTTTCTTTCCTATTATAATATATTGTGATGTGGGAGCTACTGTGTCCAAGTAATTTCCCTTGTGAATCAATAAAGCTTGTCCAAGTCTAATGTGAGGTGACCAATAGAATAAGACATTAGCCATGTTCACTATAGTGATCATAGACTGTATAAAAAAGTGGACTAGGTGTGTGTGACGCCACCTATAGCCTTTAGCACCACTCAAATGAAATTTGCGATGCTAACGGTTACAGGGGCGAATTTGGAGCCAGGCTCTATATTATGAATAGGATATTTCTGACGGACAAAATAGCGGGAAAAACCCACGAGAGTCACGTAGAGCGGGTTAACATGAACATTTTAAGATCAAAATGATAAGGCTCACTGCAGCAGTTAGAGAGAGGGGAGACAATATTCCAATGTAAGTCAATGGGAGCCAGTGTCAGTAGGACCCAGAAGAGCCCCCTGGCACAACTCCTATTTGGAACAAGGCGACTAGTGCGTTTGCTGTCCATTTATATATACAGTCTATGACAGTGACACAGATTTATGTTAACTTATGTTATTTTTTTACAGTAGTTTTTTACACACGTTTTTACTGTAGACTTTTGTAGTAGTTTTTATTGTAGATTTTTACAGTATTTTCAGTAGTTTTACAATAGTAGAAGATTAGGATCATGTAGAATGGTTAAGGTTATAGCAATGGGTCAGGTTTAAGAACATTGTGTAAACATGCATGCATGGTTGATTGGAAGCAGCAAAATCACGGAACTATATGTACTTTTAGATGGGCAATAGTAGCTCAATTGGCTGCAGCCACAGACCCACAGGTTGGCGGTGTGATTCTACCTCCTACAGATGAATGTTGTCATTATGTCTTTGGGTAAGACACTTGACCCACAGCTTTACAGAGCGTTATTCATTCATTTCACGCGGGGGTAGACTGATGGACTGATGTAAGCGAGACTGTCAATCTGCGTCATCAGCTCCTCCAATCATCACCAATACTGACTTACGTCACATTCATATTAGGTAATATGAGTGTAGTGTCTTGCGTAAGGACACAACAATAGCTTTTAATAGAACTGAAGGTACTGTTAAACATACACACACACTCGCACACACCCTATAGGAGATACTGTGGTCCAGGTTGAATACATTAAAGTTTCATTTTTATGTATACTAAAAAAATTTTTGGTGACTCATAAAAATACAGTATATCTTATTCCATATCAAATTGATTTAAAAGGTGTACACTCATTAAAGATAAATAATTTTACAATGTTAATATCAACTGTGGGCTGTTTTATTAAGCCTGGAATGAGTGTAAGTATAAATAAAAGGAAAAGAAAAACAATGCGGAGTCATAGCTGGGAGCGAGGCTAGCCTTTCTAATTAGCGCGCTGTTGTTCAGTGATTTGCCGTTGACTGAAGGCGTTTTATGACTTCCAAAATGAGCTCACTATAAACAATATGTGGCAGCTAATTAGGTGGTCTTAAACGCACAGTGAACATGGTAATTGATTTGTGTTTGTGGTGGAGATCCTGATAACAGACAATATCGTGCATGTATTTTCTATTTGAATCAGTACAGGTGCAACAAAGAACTGTGATCTTTGTTCTTACTGGCTTTTGTTTCCGAAATTGGAGAGAGTAGAGTCTATTTCTTTACATATTTGAAGCCTTTATTTCATTTTATTGCAGTAATCAAGTTAGTTATGTTGTTATCTCAGTCCCCAAAACAGTTTAAAGACCTTATTAAGAAATGGAATAATGTTGTTACCTCCACATAAACCTGGAGTTGTTTTATTTCATTCACTGTTTGAGTAACCCTCTTGTTATTCTGTCTAGATTTCCAAGGATTAAAATGCTCTGTTCCACTCTGTGATGTCATGCAGTGGTAGTTTTACCTGTAGTTCAGTGGAGATTGGCAATACCAGTTCTGAAAGTATCCAAATTGTCCTAGTAAAGGTGTATTGAATTTAAAAACACAATGGAGCACTTCCTTTATAATCACATGATCACAAGGTGGAACAGAGTGTTTTAAGTTTGAGAAAAGAGCCTAAATATTCAGGGTTTGTGTGTTAAACATGTGCGAATGAAACAAAACACAATTCTGATTAATACAATAATTAAGGATGAGGGTTGGGAACTGACGCTTCGGGAGGCCCAAACAGCCCAGTACTAAGAGAGTTTGAATGGAAAACTAAAATTTGATTCTTTAGAACTCCTTTTATTACATGTAAATTTGGTGGGACCTTCAGATAAATGTTGGAGGGGCTACGGTCTGGTGGGATCATCATGGGATCATTCCCATATATTCTGGGACTGTCCTAAACTGGGACATGCAATGCGAAATTGATCAAAATTATCTTAGAGCCATCCATTGTGCTGTTGGGAATTTTTCCAAATGATACAAGAGCAAATACTAGTTTTCATTTGCTGAAAAATTTACTCTTAATTGCCAAAAAATTATAACGGTCTCCTGGCTCAGGCCGCTGCCCCCCACAGTTACCCAGTGGAAAAGTAAAATAAAGGATGTGTATCATATGGAGCAAATAATTGCAAGGTTACAAATGAAGACAGATTTATTCAAGCACAAATGGTCATGGTTCAATTCAAGCCTATATTTCAAATGGATTACTATTTTTAAAGGATTTATTTGTTATGATATAGTGTATATGTAGGGTATATTATGAATAGGAGACAATGTGTATGACTGCATCTACACTGTAACTTTATTGTAATTTTACTTTTATTTTAAGTAAAAAAAAAAAAATAATTCAGCCACCTAGGTATGCACCTGTGTTGTTTTCTCATCTAAAGACAGAGCTTAGGCCCTAGATATGCGATTTACTTTGCACTTCACAACACCACTGACCCATTTTGTTGTTTTGCAGGCTGTCAACGGCGTCTCCAACAAGAGCCCTTATCCCGCCCAACAACTGTCAATCAACATTACGACCAATCAGGCGGGTGCGTGTGAATTATACATGTTTGCGTGTGCGTTCCTTGGGGCCATGCGCAGGGCTAGGCTGGGGGGGATAAATGAGACGAAACAGAGCTGTCTTTTAATTCATAAAACATGGCTGAGGCGTCTCATCTCTGTCTGTTTTCTGTGCACATCAGAAGGTTTCATCTTTTCTTCTTCTCTCTCTGTCTCTCTCCTCCCCTGTCCCCTCTTTCGCTCCTTGACAGAGTAATTCTTACAGACTATAAAGTGAGCTGACTTACTGCCCCATCAATACTTAATAGCGACAGACACAAGTGAGATTTTCAACCACTTTCCAAATTTAGATTTAAGGGCTGCTTTGTTATAGAAGGAACAGCATCTTAGCTTATCTACCATCATTCTTAAACCAAATCGGATTCACTGTCACCCCAAAATACGCTTGTAACAACTGTCAACTGTAAACAATTCCTGCTAGCAAGATCTTTAGAAAGTCATTATTGTCTCTGAATGCACGGTAATGCTGTAGATTTAGCGTGTTTTTCACTGGAGGCAAGCAAAGCACCTAAAATATCCCAAATCCCAATAGTGACTTTTCAGCTGTCAGCTAGTTCACACTTTGACAGCACAAAAGATTTCCACTTCTCATAGCATTAAAATGGATTATATCTGTCCCATGGTGTCCGATGACTCAGCCAGTACCAACGCGAAATACGCAGAAGACTAGAATATAAAGCCTGCAATTACACCCATATTAAATTAAACACAAGATAGGTTTTTGCTTCAGCTGCTTGCTTGTTTTTGCTTCTACTATAAGTATAAGTATCAGGCAAGAGCTTGGACACACCCTCTCTTTGAAAGTTGTTTTTCTGCATGTTTACTACTTTCTACGTTTTAGATTTATACGAAAGATTTCAAATATATGGATATATATGGAATTATGTACCAAAAATGTGAAATAACTCAGGATAGATGGTTCTCAAAAACCATCAAGTTCTCAAAAGTGCAAGTTCAGGCACCAGCCAATCAGCAAAGGATCATATATTCAGTGTTGTCAACGATTTGCGAGGATTTAAAGCCAGAATAAAGAGAATGTTTGGTGAATTTCATCAAGAGGAAAGACGTTATTGTCCTTCTTCCTACGGGATTTGGAAATGACCAAGAAGCGATTGGTTAAACGATAAAAAGTACCCTCCTACCGTCGAGCGAACAAAATCTAAGTCTGCGCGGTCAGACGGTTTGTACGAAGTGAAACGAAGTAAAACCGGCTGATGAATCAGGCTAGCAAACTTTTGGCCTACTCTCAATAAGCTTTACTATAAAAATTCTCCTGAAATGGTTTTCAATTCAAGGTATGCCATGTCAGGGTCAAGGAATGCCAATTGTCAAAAGCAGTGATCAAAGTAAAACATGGGTCTTTTTCAAAATCTAAAATCTGAAACAAGTCACAGTGATGTTGAGGTCATTTTTGGTTGCTACATTCCATGTACCAGTATGTCATTCATAGTTTTGATGCCTTCAGTGAGTATCACGGAAATAAAGAAAAAACAGAACTGAAAAACTGTCCAAACCTTTTGACTGATTTGTTGAGTTGATTTGTAGCCTCAACTGTGAACATTATGATAGTTAAATGATAGCGTTGCAGTCTCCTAAAGGTTCATCTTTCATCAGGTCTTCCATTTGCTGTATCATTTTCTCCACATTTAAGTACACATATCTAGTGCCATACTGTGAACATTCTATGTAAAGTAACAACATCTCCATGGAAACAAGCAAGTGGCATGCCCTCCACCACAAATGTTACGCAGTGCACCTTTTAAATTTGTGAGATTTATGTACGTCTTTGCCCAGGTTTTGTTAACAGTACCTATCAGGAGAATAAATTACACAACAAATAGATTCATTTATAATTAATACAGCTAAAGCCTCAGCCATTACACATCGTATACCTTATGATAAATATCACAGTATAGCACCTTTATGCCCCAGCCTTGGTCATTAAGTCTAGCACAAATGAGGTAAAAGGCAGTATTAAAATGAAGCCAGCCACATTACTGCCACCAGCTTCTAGTTTATAAAAATATGAGTGAAAATACATTGCACACATAACTCTTGGTTCCCCCTCAGTGACAAGAACAGTAATTTGTTTTTACGAGCCTGCATGAGAAAACATTTGGCTCCTTCTGTAGTAAATAATCCTGTGTCATCATATATTTCCATATTTATGCTCCTAATGCTTTACTGCTTAATTGATTGTGTGTATTTTGTGTATGTGTGTGTGTTGAACAGCCCCTTCGGTCGTTCCCATCATGCACCAGGTTAGTTCGACCAGCCGCAGCTTCTCGTTGTCATGGCCACCACCCGAACAGCCCAACGGCATCATCCTGGACTACGAGATTCGCTACTATGACAAGGTAGGGCACCATGATGAATCTCTGTTTGCATGGCCTGAGTCTGTAATAATTCATAAAAATGGTGTCAATAAGAAATATTTCAAGTCTGGTAGAGCAAGTTTTCTTTCATTTTCACATAGCAGGTACATGTGTGGACATTATTCTTTATCAGTATGAAGAACTGGCTGTAAATTACTGCTGCTGCAATGGCAACTCAGTTATTATCCAAACATATGGGCATGTCAATATCAAATTTGTCAGTTAAATGAATAAGATACATTGAAAGATATTGAGTGAACTGGTGAATATAATAGAGGATGCATAAGACTGAATCACACTAAAATGACTAAAACTTTAGACATTTAAAGAAAGGCTTTACAGATTCACAGGTGAGATATTCCAGTGGGTAGGTATGGTTTAAGCACATTATACAACTTAGAGCTGTGCGTTATGCAGTTTTAACACACATCACAGAGGAACACCTACTCCATGCAGTGCGGTAAAACTGCATAATGCATGGGTCCTTGTTGTTTATAGCTTATGTAATTGATATTCATAATGTGATCAGGCATAGTATAGATCAGTGTTTCCCAAACTTTTTTTCTGGTGACCCATTTTTAAAAGTCACAAATCTTCGCGACCGAAGTCAATAGACATTATTCATAGATCACAAAATAAATATGTGACCATTATTGAAGATACTTTATTGTTGACTGAGTGATCGCGTCTCTCTGAACAATTAGTATTATCGTATTTTTCGGACTGTAAGGCATGCCTGATTATTTAAACAAACAGATGAGACTGGAGACTTCAGACTTTTTTATTTCCTGTGAGGAGGACTGCTTTGCGCACATTTGTTTATGTTTTACAGAAACAAAACTTAAAACCACATGGCTCATTTGCATAAACTATAAGCCATTTTAAAAAAGAGCTTGCTCCTTGTGCGCTGATGCGGTCAGCTTCTGTCGGACTAAAGAACACGACTCAGTGGAATATATGTAAAAATCGGTTTGAGGTCAGTAAGCACAACCAGAATTAATGTATAAGCCATACCAGATTTTTCAGAAAATTAAGTGATTTTAAGTGCGCCTTATAGTCCAAAAAATATGGTACTCAAGATTTAAACAAGGAAAAACAGTAATCAGTGTTTCCCTAAGAACTGAGAAGCAGGGGGTGCGCGGTGCTTTGAGTGTGCCACTGTAGATCAGTTTTGTCGATATTTATTCACACCTATCCTTACTTTTGTCATCATAATATTTGATGTAACTTAATTTGTACTTCTAACTTTCATGGTTTACAGCTACAGGATCCTACAACCCACAAATAAACAGAAGACTATAATATTACATACAAATTGTACAATATACTGTAGCTGAGCATTCATTAACTCTAAATACCAACATAGTATTTGCTCTGTAATTGGTTAAAGTTTGTCCCTGTATAGACATTTATCCTCTACCTTTGACCTGTGCTTCAGTGTAGTGCCCAGGGACTCTTTTCTAAGGACACTTACCTGGAGGAGTAATCTTGTAATCTTGGTAACCCATCAGAGAGAAGCAGAACATGCAAACTATGCAAACTAGGGGTGATACAGTATCGTTATCGTGGGCTGCTTAGTATTTTTTTTTTTTTTTTTTGTGGCCACACTAAAATTTTCTTACTTATTTAGAGGAAGGAGCCCTGTTTATGCAATACACTACACCACTGATATCACTGAACATATACATTACAGCAAGTTCTTGAACATACAGTATATTGACACTGGAGGCTAAATCTTGATAGAAATATGTTGTTGTGACAGATGTGCTGACAGCTCCTGCTAACACTTGTCAACTCATATACACATTACATGCCATCATATGTAATTAATGACTCAAGTGTGGTCCGCAGCTATCAAAATGTCAACTTAGTGCATGCTTTCTTGTTAAGTGTAATTTGCTAATATGCTGGCTGGCTTGGGGAGACTGGCCATTCATTCACACAGACACCACTCGATATTGATGCAAAGCTCCACTTTTCAGCTATTTGTCTTAGAGCAAAATGAGAAGCTATTCGTTACAATGGATGATAAAAGAATGGCGGGCTGCACTGGCAAAGAAATATGCATTGATGTATTGAGTCATGTATGTGTAAATGGTGTGGTTTAACATGCACCATCGACTGTATAGCTACAGGGAAGTCAATGAAACCAACTTTATCATTGATTAAGTAACAAAAAGCCTGTTATGCCTGAGTCAATATCACCTTGAAAGACTTTTGCAACTTATGAAGTAAATGTTCATGTTTATGACTAATATGATGCATGGACCTGTATGTTTTTATAGTACATTTCAAATGATACTGTGATATTGACATGGTAAGTGATACTTCAAAGCTCGTGTACACATATAGATCCAAATAAAGTGGAGTTTTATAGATAGAAAAATGTTAGATTGATGTTATACTGCACCATAAACTTGATGTCTGCATTTGTCTCACTCCCCCAATGCTGCTTGGCCAGGATTATCTACATAGAAGATACACATTGTACACACTGATTCGACGGTTGGCGGTTTGAATCCTGCTTTTGACATAAACATAAGTGGTAGAGCAGTCAGATTTTACGGGCCTACAAGCTGGCGGTGCAATTCCAGGTCCCACAGATGAATAATGCTGTTGTCTCCTTGGGCAAGCTACTTAACCCACCTTTCCCCCAATGTCTGCACACTCTGGTGTATGAGTGTCTTAAAAGCGCTATGTAAAAATGTCACCATTTATCATTGTTGTTAAATGTGTATGTTGTAACTTTTTGTGTAAAGCGTTCACCACATGTTTGTCTCCATGGAGATGTTTATGCTTTGTTCTACCGTAAGGCATTGCATTTATCTATCTTCATGGAGTTAAGTTATCAGCAAGGTTACTAGTTAGATCTGTGGAGAGGCAATCCCACACACAGTATTTGTTAGATTTGTTAGAGCAACGAAAACACCTGTAAAGAAAAAAATGCAAGACAATGCCACACTGTAGAACATTCCAAGCAAACCACAAATAGATGGTGGCCCCTCATCAGAAATGTGACATATTGCACCTTTAACTAACCTAAAATAATTGATATATGTATGTGATATATAGGGCTTTGTTGTCCTCTACTAGCAATGGTTGAAGTGAATGTTACATTATTTTGAAGAGGCAGCAATAATACTGCAATGCTTAGCTCAAAAGACTATTTTAGCTTGTTAGGATACCCTTACATTAAAAATTGGGCTAATCTTGAAAGGCAACCTTTATATTACCTTTTATGCCAGAGCAAACTCTAATCTTATCATGTCTCTGAGTATTGCTGCAGACAGATTTTCAGTTGAGTGCGTTGTTAACAGGCATTATGTCCTCTTGAGCATGCTCTCCGCTCCCTCACTACTTCTTGAGGAGAGATAGGGCTGGCTGTAACATAAGTCTGAAAAGTTTGAAAAGTCTCATTGGAGTTTCCGACTTCCCAAACTGCACTGAACAAAGGGAATCGCTTCTGGAGATTTTGCTTGTGGCTTGGCACCAGATGGAGAAAACCAAACCCAATCTCGCTGGAAAAGGATCAAGCATTGTGGATCCTCTGTTATGTTCTTTGATTTTAAAAGCTTTGTACTGCTTTTCACATCTGATAGAAACTTTCTATTTTCATTAGTCATCACCCTAGCAAACTTTATTTATCCACCAGGGGAATATTGTTTTTTTTTTTTTTGTAATATCAAAAGACCATATTATGAAGTACAAAAAAATTGAAAAAAAAATATAGAATTATTCAGCAGTACTCAATTGTAAAGTTAATCTACAATCTTACATATAAAGGGCTTGGAAATGTAACTATAAAAATGTATCGCTAATTATTTCTTTGTTTTGGTGGGATAGTACACAGGGTAAATATTTATCATTGTGGCCAGAACTCCTTGTCAAAGTCTGATCTTGTCAGATTTCAGAAGATAAGCAGGGCCACTGGGAAAATCAGGTGCCGTAGTGGGGCACCAGTGCCAAAAAAAAAAAAACTAAAACTGTTGTTGTGTCCTTGGGCAAGGTAATTCACCCACAGTATGAAAGTGGTGTGAGTGTTGGTGATGGGCCAAGGGGCTGATGGTGCAGACTGGCAGCCTCGTAATAATGCACCATATTGTAAAGCAACTTTGAGCGTGTGGAAAAGTGCTTTATAAGACTAATGCATTATTAAGCATAGTTTTACATCAGTTAAGTGGCAGTTTGTAGGAAAAAAGTTGAGAAGAAAAGTACAAAAATATATGAAGTAGTGGTGAACACTGATTAACACACAATTAAATATCATTATGTCAGCTTTGTTTTAGTGAAATGATCTAACCTGCCTTTTGCACTTTAACTCATGGTGCATGTTTTAACGATGCCTGATTGAGTTTAAGCATTAACAAAAAGCGACATTTGTGGAAGGAATCCTTTTGTCGAGTAGCTTGAACCAACTCCATTAAAGTGCGACTAATGCAATGAAGCTCCCAATTAACAGATTAGGCCTAAAGTTGGATTAACAAGTATCTGACAGGTCGCTATGGCAATGCTAACCGGGGACTCTGACAAAGAAAGTACCACCATGTTGATAAGTACCCAATTTAAACCCCACCATCACATTTTACACCGAGAGAGTTCTATACAGCTCAATTAATTTAGAGGCATAACTATAGCCGAGAGCTGCAGTTCAAATGGCCCCATCTATTCTAACGCAGTAGCTTTTTCCTCCACCAATACCACACAAAGAGAAAAGCACCTACGAAATCTCTGCAACAACCAGCCTCCACAGTTGGGTTCCGGCCATCTTCACATCCAACTTATACAAGAGAAATAAACAGTTTTTGGGTGTTTTTTAGGATAAGGTTCACCCTCTCTGCTCCCACTTTTCTGGCTTTAATAAACTGTCAGTAAGTTGTGACGATCATAACTCACAGAGAAACAGCACACAAACTTTAACAGCTGCAGTGGCTGTTATCACTTTGATGCAAGCAGGCTCGTACAAGGCTTAAGACCGTGACTCT